CAAAAGAATCCTCTTAATTTATAACGATACAGCTCGCGCCGTGAAGCCCGAATATACCTACCTATATAAAAATATAGAGACATATATACGCCGCGCGAAAGTCCTGTTAGAATTACCGCTTCCCCCCCGCGCTCGTTAATTAGAATTAGACCGAAGAATTACGAAGCCATACGGAAACGCCGAATAAAAAGCTCGCGAAGAACCGAAAGAGGCATTCCGCACCGTACCGTCTTAGACAAGTACCTCTCCGGAAAACGCAAACGAAAAGGTTGAGAACAAAGAGATCGGGTACCCTGTCTTGTATGGGTGCGTTCCACTTCCGAAGCCGCTTCGAGCGTCTTCTCACCAAATCCGCTCCTCGCTCTATCCACCTATATAATACAATTGGCTGCATACACCAGAGGTTGGAATTTCTCCGCCTCTGTCGGGAGTTCCCGCGGCCGATTTTAACTGATAATATCCTCGGAAATAAACGGGATCCCCACGACGCGAATACCCGAAACCGAACACCGGTTTCTCAAAAAAAGGAAGCGACACCGCTTTCTCTCGCTTCCGCGCGCGCGAGAGAGAGAACATCTGCGGGGAATAACAACACGGGGACCGTACCGCGCCGCGCCCGGAAAAGGAAAATAAACACGGCCGTGAGAAGTTAAAGAAAAGGCCGTCCCTTTAAATACCGAATTCCGATCGCCGACGCAAAAATAGAAATTGTTATTTCTCGTTGCATCCAATGCCACGTAAGCAATAATTGGCGCATTTGTTCCAACACTGATCTGTTACACTGATACCGGCACACGCATCGCTACGTTTACCAGGACACGCACTTATACTTGCACCCCCGCATCCGCACCCGCACATACATATACACTCGCCGTCATACTCACGTCATACATTTATAATTACATACACGCATTCGTACGCACATTTATACACATCCATACACTGTCATACACGCGACATATCTTTATCCTGGCGTCTGCGTTCGCATGCACATCTGCTCACGTTTATGCGCATACATATACATTTGCCGTCATACTCACGTCACACCTTTATAATTACATACACGCATTTGCACGCACATTTATACACATACATACGCTGCCTTACACACGTCGCACGCGCAATTCAATGTGATACACTTTCACGTTCACACATGAACATTCACACACTTACGCACACACACACACGCGCGCGCGCGCACGCACACGCACACACACACCCACACCTGTACACTTGTACACTTGTACATAGTACACAAATAACCACTTGTTAAAATTCGTACACCGAGTCGCACGTTTCTTGGATTAAATCCCTTTTCCGAACCTTGTAATCCCGATTGAGCGATCCGGCCGCGCCGGGAAAGCGGTCCGTATAATTTAAGAAAAAAATTCTCTAAAGAAATATTCTTTAATTAGATATTCATAACATGCAAGAATATAAACTTAATGAAATGTTTTTATCAGAATATTATTTAAAATATTATTAATCGTGATAAAAACACTTATAATGGACATTTGTTATTTATTGCATACAGTACCCTTCACAAATTTAGAACACTACATTTTACAGTTAAACAATCACATGGCAGCGATCTGTCATAAATAAAAATGCTATTTGAATATTTTACGATTTATTGATACAAAAAATCTACACAGATTACTGCCATACGATTGTTTAACTGTAAAGAGTAAGGTGTTTCCAAACTTATGGAGGGTACTGTATATATATGTAATATATATATATATATTATATTTATATATATATAAAATTTATAAATATACCATTTATATATAACTGTAAATCATTTGCATTACTCTGAGATGATAACAAAACTGAATTTGTTTTATGAGCATGCTGATAATTGCTTTTAGATATAACTTCTTTGCTGAACCAACAAATCTGTTTAGTTATAAACACTAAATTTATGTAGCAAATTATAAATTTGCTGACTCAACAATTCTATTTTTTTTTCGTGTGAAAGATCAAACCTTGAATGTTTTATTTTTGATAGCGGCTCTTTTTTTAGCAGGTCTTTACGAGTGATATACTTATGTAGGAGCGTTTCTATATAAATTGAAAGTATCCACACTTTGCTGCTACGAAGTGTCTACATCTTCTAACTAAAATATATATTCCGCTAGTATGTTTGAGCTTCTAGTAAATGGCACAATGACCATTCTTACTACCATACTATATGCTAGAATCTGAAATGTGAACTAATTCGGCAATTAGATACACTCCAATTTTTATCTCAACCAACTGCTGCGTTAGAAAATAATGGGAACTATCAGCAGGGATTGAGGTATCGATTATTATCTTATCAATTTTGCCTCAAAGTGATAAAGAAATAATTAAAAAGGAAAATAATAAAATATTGCTTCTTTGCGCACTTTCTACTTTTCTTTGAGTATTAATAAATGATGACATTTTTTATTGATAATAATGTCGAGAATTTCTCTTTTCTTTCTTCCCTCTTCTCCTTGCTATCATATATAGCGGAATTTCAAATAGCTTAATCATATATCTTACATATTTTAATTTACTTCTTTTTATTCCTTTCTATCTTGATTTGCTATTATTTTTTCTTATCTTTCTATCTTTATTTGCTTTTTTGTTTGACTACTTCTTGGTTTTTTCTACTCTGTTTTTTGGAAGGGGGGATTTTGCAAATGAGATGTTTTCAAAACGTGTCACTCAATTATCTCCATATTTGATTTCTTCTATAAATTATACAATATAATAAATGATCGTTTTCAGTTAAAATACTGTGGTCGAAAATGTATGGCAGCGCCAGCTGTTGGAGATGGACAAATACATCAACAAGAAGCAAATGAAGTAATTGTTAAACCATTTACAATGATATAATATATATATATATATATATATACACAGGATGTCTTGCAACTTCCATACAACACTTTAACAACATATATTAAAGGTAAATAGAATCAAATTCTAATATGAAAACATATATGTATATATATTGCCACAATAGTTTTGAATTATAAGCGATTAAAATTTGCTAATATTGCGTAAAATTTACGCGCTCAAGCCCGTAATTATACTTGCACGTTTATCAATTTATTATCTATTATTAATTTTTACAAGTCAGAAAGTATTGATGTTTTATTATACAGCTGATTTTATTTTGTCGTTTCCATTATCCTTATAGATCCTATATATGTATGTGTAAGCATTATAGCGGTCAACTAATTAACAAATTATATGACTTTTATACGCAAAATATATAATTATGAGGTTTTTTTATTAATATAAACGACCAAAACTGAACAAATATTATTCGTTTATTAGATGTAAGTCATAACGTTTCGACCTCTGGTTTAGGTCTTTATCAAATGAATAGATAAAACATAATTGTTTTACAAATAATTACAACTTCCAGCACAATTAAAAACTTACACGAACAAAGAAAACTTACAATTAGCAATGTATTAATTACAATGATCAAAGGTAATTACAACAACCGATGATATGATTTTTTTTCCTATCTGTATCACATGTGTCTTCAATAACAACTAAACCCTGAATGTGTGTTGGTCATGATAAACATGTTCGTGGGACGCCACGCAATCAAGTAAATAATAGACTGTATAACTTTGTTTTTATTTGGCACAAAAAAAAGGGTAAATTTACAGTAACGAATAAAACACAAGTAAGAATAAAGCCTGATTGAGATTATAAACTGAATAATAATGTCACTTTAGAAAATAAATTCACCAGGGTTCGTAATCGCGGATCACTCGCTCGTTAACTTTTCGGGTCTCTCGGACGACTGACTCGTCGGAGCGTTTAGGCATTTCACCCAAAAACGGGGCAAGCGTGCCTCGCAGGGAAGATCACGACGTGCTCACGCTCGAGAGTCATCGTATCGCGCCTATCATGCCGAATAACAGTTCGGACGGACTCCGAACATTCCGCCCGCCTCCGTCGTCCTCGACGGAAGAAGTGGCCACTGGTCCGTTGAACTCAAGGTGTCTTCCCCTTGTCGTCCTCGGTGGGTAGCCTCACCAATTTGACCAGAGGCCTCGTGAGGGTGGAATCCGCGGTGCGGACCTGTGCAACTCTCACGCGACCGTCTGGTCCGGGGTGTAGCGCTAAAATCCGCGCCATCATCCAGCGCGACGGTGGGAGTCGCTCGTCCCGGACGACGACGAGCTCGCCGACTCGGGGAGCCTCGGTCTCCTTGGTCCATTTTCCCCTCGCCTGGAGGGTATGTAAGTAGTCTCGCGACCAACGAGACCACAGGTGCTCGGTCAACTGCTGGAGTAACTGCCATCTGGAGAGTCGTCCCTCGTTGACACCCTCCAGGCTCGGTTCCGGAACGCTGACCAGCGGCCTGCCGATCAGGAAATGTCCCGGAGTCAGCGCGCTGAGGTCGTCCGGATCGTCCGATATGGCGTGTAGAGGCCTCGAATTGAGACACGCCTCGACTCGTGCCAAGAAGGTGCCAAGCTCCTCGAATGTTAGGGTGTGTTCCCCGACGACTCGGCGGAGGTGGTGTTTGACCGATTTGACCCCGGCTTCCCAGATCCCGCCAAAGTGGGTCGTCGCCGGCGGTTGAAATCGCCATTCCGTGCCGTCGTTCGCCAGTGCTTCCGCGATGGGGCCTCCTTCTGCACCAGCGGCCTTGAGGGCCGTCCGCAGTTCCCGATCGGCTCCAACGAATGTCGTGCCCTGATCACTGTATACGACGGCCGGTACGCCGCGTCTGGCGGCGAAGCGATGGAACGCCGCAAGGAAGGCCGAGGTCGAATAGTCGCTCACCAGCTCTAGGTGCATCGCGCGGGTCACAAAGCACACGAAAACCGCGATGTACCCCTTGCAACTGCGGTGTCCTCGCCCCTTGGTCGTCCGCACGCCGATAGGACCAGCATAGTCGACCCCGCACGTGGAGAACGGGGGAGCCGGCGTCACCCTGGTCGCCGGCAAGGGCGCCATGAGAGGCTGGAACGGGGCGGCCCTATGCCGCACGCACGTAACACAGCGATGAAGAATGCCACGGACCAGGCTGCGACCCGCCGGTATCCAGAAGTTCCTCCGCAGGTTCGCCAAGATCATCTGAACCCCGCCGTGGTAAACCCTCAGATGTGCGTTCCTCACCAAGAGTTCTGTAAGGCGATCGAATCTCGGCAGTATAACTGAATGGTTCTCCTCCTGCAACTGACGTGAATGTCGCAGCCGACCACCGACGCGCAGCAACCCATCCTCGTCGAGGTGCGGCTGCAGCGGCGTCAGTGGGCTGCGTTGATTGATAACGGCACCTCTCCTTAGCCGAGACAGCTCGACTGGAAAGTGCCTCTGCTGCGCGACGCGCAGCAGGGTGTCTCTCGCGGGTCGGAGCTCCGAGGCCGCGAGAGCCCTGGTGACTGGTCGGAATTTGCGCAGGAAGCGTAGCACGTACGCCACGCTACGCAATGCTCGACCGTAAGTGGAGAACCGGGTGAGGAAGTCCTCCTCCTCCGTCTGGACCGCGATGTGCACAACTCGGCGCTCCTCCGGCGGCTCGGCTCTGGTGTCCAAGGGAGTCGCGGGCCACTCCTCGACGGGTCGCGTCAGCCAACGCGGGCCATTCCACCAGATTTGATGCATCCCTAGGTCACGCGGCATCAATCCCCGCGACGCGCAGTCCGCCGGATTGTCCTCCGTCGGAACGTGGCGCCAAACCGCTCCCGGGATAGCCTCGTGAATGGCCGCGACGCGGTTGGCGACGTAGGTTTGCCACTTCGAGGGGTGTCCACGCAGCCATGCAAGCACGATCGTCGCGTCCGTCCAGGCGTGGATTGAGGTCACCGGAATGCAGTCCCGCACCGACGCCAAGAGTCTAGCCAGTAGGTGCGCTCCGCACAGCTCGAGTCTCGGCAAGGTGACCCTCTTCGCGGGCGCCACCTTGCTTTTGGCCAGAATCAGACCCACGGTAGCCGGTTCACCCGGGCGTAAGATCCGCAAGTACGCGACGGCAGCGTATGCCCGCTCCGACGCATCGCAGAATCCGTGGAGTTCTACGCGCTCCGCCTGGTGAGACCAGCCCAGCCATCGTGGCACCGAAAGGTCAGCCACGGCAGGGAGTTCCTCGCAGAACCTCCGCCACCGAGTCTCCATGTCCGGTGAGACGTCCTTGTCCCAATCCGCTCCTCGTAGCCAGAGTTCCTGTAACAAGATCTTCGCGACCACTACGATCGGCGCCAACCAACCGAGCGGGTCAAAGAGGCGCGCGATTGCCGAGAGAATGGCGCGTTTGGTGATTCTGGGTGGCACCGGAGGACGATGGGTAAACCGAAAGACGTCCGACTCCGGCACCCAGTGTACGCCCAGCATTATGGTCGCCCGCTCATGATTCCCGAGTTCCACCATCGCCTCTCGATCCTCGTGGGCGATGCCCTCCAGAAGTTCCACTCGGCTGGAAGCCCACTTCCTGAGATTGAAGCCGCCCGCCTTGAGCAGCTGTCTTAGGTCGGACTGTAACACTTTCGCCTCATTCAGGGAGTCCGCTCCACCTAGCACGTCGTCGACGTAGGTGCCGCGTCGCAGCAGAGCCGCGGCATCCGGGAAGCGGTCTTGTTCGTCGTGCGCCAGCTGCAGCAGGGTGCGTATCGCCAAGTACGGTGCGCTCGCCGTACCATATGTCACCGTGTTGAGGCGATAGCACCCGATAGGCTGCTCCGGATCTTCGCGCCAGAGGATCTGCTGCAGCGGCCGATCTTCGGGATGTACAGCGATTTGGCGGAACATCTGTTCGATGTCCGCCGCGAAGACGACTCTGTGCATCCTCCAACGCAGCAGCACCTCCCGCAGCTCCTGCTGGAGTCGTGGCCCCACCTGCAGCACATCGTTAAGGGAGACTCCCGTCGACGTGGGCTGCGAAGCGTTGAAAACCACGCGGACCTTGGATCCGTCCGGCGTAGGTTTGAACACGGGATGATGCGGCATGAAGTAGCCGGCCGCGCGTTTGCCGTCGTCGTCGCCGACTCGTGTTATGTGCTCCCGTGCCTCATAATCGCGGAGGAACCGCGTGTAGTCCTCTCGCAGGGTGGAACTTTGTGCGAGGCGACGCTCGAGACGTAGCAGGGAAGCTCGCGCTACCGCTCTCGAGTCGCCAAGTTTAGTGCCGTCCGTTGCCTCCCGTCTTGGCAGCCGAACGATGTAGCGGCCGTCCGCCGCGCGCTGATGCGTGGCCGTGTACTGCTCGTCGCATTCCGTCTCCTCCTTGCTCCAAGGAGACGCGGACGGCAGCTCCTCGACCTCCCAGAATCGACGTAGTTGTTCCGCTACCTCGTCCTTTTGGCAGTGAAGCGAGCAGCCATTCAGCTGCTTCGATGCGGTCGCGTCGGCGACCGTGCCCGTCAGCAGCCAGCCGAGCTGTGTTGACTGCGCCACTGGCAATCCCCTCTCGCCCTTGCGGATGTCGCCCATGAGGATGTTCGCGTAGACTTCCGCGCCTAGAACCGCTTCGATCCCCGTAGCGCTGGTGAAGTCATCGGCGAGCTCGAGTCCTTGTATGTGCTTCCACTGAGTAGACGGAAAACAGACCGGAGGTCTGTAAGACGTTAAGCGCGGCAGAATGAGCGCGTCGAGTTGCCGCACGTACGGATCTTTCGTCAGCAAGCGAAGCGCAACGGTTGTCGCCGCGCGGGCGAGAGCGGTCTCGGTCTCGCCCATCCCGGTAACGCGCACGCGAACCGGGCGACGCGTAACTTGCAGCCGCTGTGCCACGGCTTCCGAGATAAAGTTGAGTTCGGACCCTTGGTCGACAAGGGCACGCACGACGGTCGAGCGTCCGGACTCGACCTGCAGTCGCACTCGCGCAGTCGTCAAAATCACTGATTTCGCACGCGGTTGCCACGCCACGTGCGCCGCGGTCTGCGCTTCCGCGGCCCGCTGGTTGTCGGACCCGACCGGACTATCTGCATGCAGCAGGGTATGATGCGCGTCGTGGCACACTTGACAGCGCTTGGCGGATGTGCAATCGCGCGCCAGGTGGAAGCTGGACAGGCAGTTCCCACACAATTGATGCGCGTTGACCTTCGCCTTCCGTTGAGCGACTGTCATCTTCGTGAACTCTGGGCAGTGCAGGATAAAGTGCGTCTCCTTGCACAGTTTACCCGGGAGTGGCTTCGATTTTGAGACGTGTAACACGCGCGCCCGAGACGTCTTTCCACTCTTGGGCGTTGCCGCAGCCGACGGCGTGGACGACGCGGAGGTCGACGGCGACGGAGAAAATGCGTGCAGCTCGCGCATCTTTCCTTCGAGGAACTCGCTTAGCGTATTCCACGGCAACGGCTCACGTTCCGTATTCGTGAGTCTTTCCTCGAGCTTGTCCGAAATCGTCGAGACTCCGCGACGACGTCGTCTGTCTCGGTGTACCGCGGTCGCGCGAGGAAGACACACACAGACAGCGAGCAAAAATAAAATAATCGAGAGTCCCTACCGCTTGGCAAAACGGTATCACCGTGTGCACGCGTGAGTCAGTCGCGCCTCGTCGCGGTATCGAGCTTGGAGACTGTCAAATAGACGAGCCAGTCGTCCCAACGTTCCACCGGGCGCCCGAGGTGATGCAAAAATGTGCGGATTTCCGAGACCCCATCGAAGACGCGCTGCACTTCCGTCGCGGTTTCCGTTTTCGCCGAAGCAATGTCGACAAGGGCGGACAGGTGCGCGGTCACCAGCAGTCTCTTATTGTTATAACGATCGCACAGTTTTTGCCACGCGGACTCAAAGTTCTCCGACGTCACGCCGAAGTTTCTAATGAGCCTCTCCGGCTCTCCGCTTAACCCTTGTTTTAAATAGTGCATCTTTTGTACTGCCGACAACGCCACGTTGGAGCGCACAAGCGATTCGAACAAGTCATGATAACTGCGCCACTCGCCGAACGCGCCGCTGAAACGCGGAACTGGAACGCGCGGCAATTGCACGCCGGGCGCCGCGACGCTCGTTGCCACGGCGGCCCCCGGCGTCTCGCGAGTTACCTCCACAGATCGAGCCGTCATACCTCGCTCGAGCTCGTCCTGCATGTCGAGCAGCTTGCCTCTCTGCTGGAGGTAAATTTCCTGGACGCCCCCGAGTATGTCCTTCCGCACGTAGTCGGAGTCAGCGAGTGCCTTCTCACCCAGGCGACGTAACTCCCGATCGTTCTGCATAAACTGCTCCCAGTAACGATCGGTCAAATCAATACGTGACACTAGGCCGCCGCGTGATCGGCCCTGTTTCCGTTGATTTTCAACGGAGTGGGCGATGTAATCCCGTAGCCGCGCTTGTTTGTTTAACAAATCTTGCATGGTTGGCGCTGGACGCGGAGGCGCAGCGGTGGCCATTGCAGAGCACTCACCTTGCACTTAAAACTGCACGAAAGAATCGTCGGATTCCTTGAGCTTGTCCGAAATCGTCGAGACTCCGCGACGACGTCGTCTGTCTCGGTGTACCGCGGTCGCGCGAGGAAGACACACACAGACAGCGAGCAAAAATAAAATAATCGAGAGTCCCTACCGCTTGGCAAAACGGTATCACCGTGTGCACGCGTGATCCGCGGATGATCCGGCTCGAAGGACCAAATGTTCGTGGGACGCCACGCAATCAAGTAAATAATGGACTGTATAACTTTGTTTTTATTTTGGCACAAAAAAAAGGGTAAATTTACAGTAACGAATAAAACACAAGTAAGAATAAAGCCTGATTGAGATTATAAACTGAATAATAATGTCACTTTAGAAAATAAATTCACCAGGGTTCGTAATCGCGGATCACTCGCTCGTTAACTTTTCGGGTCTCTCGGACGACTGACTCGTCGGAGCGCTTAGGCATTTCACCCAAAAACGGGGCAAGCGTGCTTCGCAGGGAAGATCACGACGTGCTCACGCTTGAGAGTCGTATAGTATCACGCGCCTATCATGCCGAATAACAGTTCGGACGGACTCCGAACAAAACATTTAAACTAAATCTATGACCTTATTATATATAATATTTAAATTTTCCGTATCATTTTGTAAGTATTATATATATTATACTTTTTTATGTAAAATATCTCAGCGATCTCTCTCTTTTTGGTATGTTTTTCGTTATGTAAAAGAATAAGATACCGGACTTATACAAAAATTTGGTGAGGCCTAGGGGAAATGTCCCTAGGGATAACTTTGTAAAGTATCGTTCTCACGTCCCGCGTTATATCGACGTTTATGTATTATTGGATCTAATTTCTGTCTTTATACATTATACATATTATTCAACCTTTCGATAATACCGGTCCGTAATTATAGAATAACTATTGTTTAAATTAAATGAATAAATAAGCTCGTTAATTTATAAATTAGAGATAATAAAACAACATGAGCCTATTACGAGCTATGTGAATTGATGTCAAACATATATATTTCCAAACTTTACATCAAATCATATAAATCTACTTTACAATGATACAATGAGACGTTTCGACGCTTATTTGCGTCTCTTCAGTCATAATTAGTTAAAACATAGTGAAACGTTGGTTAAGCCAGTACGATGTGATCCGTATTAAGTCAATTCTTCTCTAATATGTCCTAGGTATCTCGCGATTTCTATTATTAAAATTTTTTATTACATATAACACTTTTTCAAACAATATAATCAAAATTCAAGCAACTTATAATATAACTCTCACCTTAACTTCCAAATTTAAAAAATTATAGATTGACACTAGTCACAGAAAGATAGAACATCTTGATATTCATGTTGTAAATACAAAAGTGATTTGGCGATGAAGAGTATTTCTAATCGTTGGTCGTACATTGAAAAATTCACTAATATACCTAAGAATGAATTTTTACATATGACGAAATTTATTCTCGATTCCACTTATTTTAAATTTAATAATACAATTTTTAAACAACATTTGGAACATCTATGGATTCTCCACTATCGCCTATTGTGGCTGATCTTTTATTACAAGATTTAGAAAATAAAGTTTTATATAAATTTGACAAAGATATTAAGTTTTACTACAGATATGTTGATGATATTCTAATTGCGATCAAAAAGGATGCTTTATAGAACACATTAAATATGTTTAATTTATTTCACGATAGAATCAAATTTACATATGAATTGCAAGATAATGGATCTATAAACTTTTTAGATTTAAAAATTTATACCAACAATAATAGGATTATAATAGATTGGTACCAAAAAAATTCTTATTCGAGCAGATATCTTTCATTCTATTCAAATCATCCTACCTGCCATAAAATTGGTACTATCTATAGTTTAATTGACAGATCTATATTATTATCACATCCCAAATTTCACCAAAAAAATATAAAATTTAGCATCAATATTTTATTAAGTAATGGATATCCTCTTCAGTTTATATTCAAATATGCTATTTCCAGAATAAAAAGTTTAATATTCACTAAATTAAACAATGCTAAGGTTAATGACAATATTACTAATAAAAAGAAGAAAAGATTCATAGCTGTTCCGTATATTGGTGGATTATCAGAGGGAGTATGCGAAATATTAAAAAAAAAAACAGAATATGCCACAGGCTTCAATTGTTTCAATCGTCTAAATAAATTTATTAAGGTGCATAAGGAGTCCGCACCAAGGATGGAGACCAATAATGTTATCTATAAAATTAATTGTAACGATTGCAATACGACTTATGTGGGTCAAACAAAAAGACAATTAAAGACAAGAATAAAGGAACATAAAAATAATATTAGATATTTACACACGAAACCTTTGGTAATATCTGAACATATTATCAGTGAAAATCACTCTTGATTGGGAAAACATAAAAATTCTTGATCGTAAACCCAATTATTATAAACAATTAATATCAGAGATGATTTTCATAAAACAATAAAACAGAAATTTAAATAAAATTGAAAATTTAGATACATTAGATAGCAGTTATTTTTCTTTATTGGAGTTTTCTTAACGAACTTTTCAAACAATTTCTACAAAACATGTTTACCAATTAGCGGCAGATATATATAGAGTGCCAGGTCGCGACTCGTATCACTTTTGTATTTACAACATGAGTATCAAGATGTTCTATCTTTCTGTGACTAGTGTCAATCTATGGTTTTTTAATTTGAAAGTTAAGGTGAGAGTTATATTATAAGTTACTTGAATTTCGATTATATTGTTTAAAGAAGTGTTAGATGTAATAAAAATTTTAATAATAGAAATCGCGAGACATTGGACATATTAGAGAAGAATTGATTTAATACGGATCACATCGTACTGGCTTAACCAACGTTTCACTATGTTGATTTAATACGGATCACATCGTACTGGCTTAACCAACGTTTCACTATGTTTTAACTAATTATGACTGAAGAGACGCAAGTAAGCGTCGAAACGTCTCATTGTATCATTGTAAAGTAGATTTATACGATTTGATGTAAAGTTTGGAAATATATATGTTTGACATCAATTCACATAGCTCGTAATAGGCTCATGTTGTTTTATTATCTCTAATTTATAACTATTGTTAACCAATTCTGTATATGTAATCCTATAATTGTCTATTTATCATCAAATACATCGTTAACTATTTTATTAACCCAACCTATGTGTTCTATTTAATAAAACTTCCTCTCCAGAATCTTGAAAATCAAAATCTGTGAACCGCGCCCCTCTGCCAAATACTGAGCAGGACGTAGTCAGCAAATTTTTTTTTTTTTTTTTTTTGTAAAGAATTCTGATACCGTAACGCGCGGAATCAGGGTTGCCAGGCATGGCGCAATAGCCCCAATGTGGCTCTTGTACTGATCTAGAGTGTGAAATTTTGCTTCGGCGCTTTGGCACATTTGTGGCACACTAAGAAAAAAATATGGCGAAAAGTGGCGCTTTAAAGGTGAAAGCACAAAAAATTGCAGGAGCCATATTTTTTGGTTATTTTAGTAAAAATTTTAATATGTCGAAAAAAGTGGAAAAATTTAAAAAATTTAATCCAAAATGGAAAAACGAGTCCTGAGCTCAAGGTAAAACTTTTTGAACATTAACTATTTACGTTGTACTTATATTAAAAATGAAGTTTGCAAGTTTGTAATTTCTTATTATATATTTAGGTTGGTTAATTGAGAGTACCCAGGAAAACACTTCATACTGCATTTTGCAAAGTTTGTATAACAGGCATAAGGGCACACAAAGCTGATCTCATCAGGCAAACGGAAAGTACAGCGCAAAAAAAAAATATGAAAAGTCTTCTTCCGGACAAGAATCAACAAAAACTCTCCGAAAGACATGTAACTATTTTTTCG